CTTACATCATGGAGCAAAAGCAGAAATAGCATCTTTTGCAGCACGGAGCAATAAAACAGTTTACCAAGTAGTACCTTGCTCCAGCAATGGCAAATACAGGACGAGGATGATTTTACAGACTATCCAATAATTTGGACAAGTTCCATGGAGAATATTGTAGACCATCCAATTTGTGGCTTTGTTAACTTTCCTGAAAGTAAGAGTAAATGAAAAATAAGGGTCAAAAGCCAAATACTTCTTGATATCCTATACAATAGCCTTTTATTTCCCAAATATAAGTAAGAACACACCTCATCCTTCACTCAACCCATAACAACTTTACAATCTGACTCAATATGTCACACTACTAGAACTAGAAATGCATAAGTACAAAAAATTCATGAGTTGTGTAACATACTCCATAGGTCCTAGAAACATCTATCTCTATCATCAATTCAAGTAGTAGCAAATTAGCAAATGGTGGAGAGAGGGTATGGGGAGAGAATCAATATCACACATCGGTTTGATAACAAAGAAACAGGTTGTTTAAATATTGAACTTCATTGAATTCGATTGCCGGGCTAGGTAGCGTGGGCCTGTGACCCAAGGGGGGGCAACAAGGTGATGTGATAGGCATGAAAAGCTCTCGACCTCCAACTGTGGATGTACACCCTCCACCTCTTTAGATGAGGTGAGACTGCAGGCCCTTCAGAGTAGCAACCTGTGTTCCCTGAATGGTGGTGTCTGGTCCCTCCAGAGATTTCATCTTATACTTACCATCACCTTTTTGAACAACGTCCCAGGTCATATACACAGAATCATAAGTCTCTCAAAAAATGAGCTCTTTAAATGTACAGGTCATATACAACAACCCCTTTGAAAAACCAGAGTGAAGTTAATTTTGCCATTCATGACCAACCTAAAGGAAATGATTATGAGCAGTTACTCCAAACTTAGACAACTAGGAAAGATATAATTACCCTTCAACTCGGTCTCATGGTTCAACAAACTTAAGCCAATTATGAAGAACACTATCTTTGTATCATCATGTAGATTTTCCCATTAAAATCAAACTTGCATTCAATCACATGCTTAGCAAGCATGAAAAGGAAAATAACCCTAAGTATTAAGCAATCCCAGGAATACTTTCTACATCAGTCATTGCAAGAAGTCTTGGGTAAAACAAGCAACAAGAAGAAAATTAACGGTATTCATAGCTGTGCAATTCTATAATTTGAGATATTAGGAAACTGTAAAGCTGGATGCCTGGACCAGTGGGGATCCCTTTGAAGAACCAAAGTGAGTAGTATTTGTTAGTCATTTCATGAAATAATCCCTCAGCTAAATATTTTGCCAACTTGGGAAAATATTGCAAGTCTGTGCCATTTGACATGAAAAATAAAAATACTTATCAGATAGATGTGTTGCAAGCTAGATAAGTTTTGTATTCAACTTTTCTTCAAAACTAGGGCCTAATTCCAAAAGATTCAGTTTCCTTTGTAAGATATCCAACAATTTAGGGGCTTGTTCCTTGTACCTGAAAACAAACCTGTCCAAGTAGTACTTCTCTGGGGACATCATCACGGAGGACAAGAAAATTTCTTCCTTTATCAAACCCTTTAATAGCAAAAATCTTATAACTGAACACCTTGGGATGATTCTCTTCTTTAAACTGAAAGAAAGCACGTATGGAACTCTAGCAACTGCTGAAGGATGCCAACCCATCTTATTCACCAGAAAATCCATCAAACTTTTAACTTTCTTTGCCGATTTACCCAGAAATGAAGGATCTTTCTTGAAAGCTGACAAGAAACTCATCTTCGGACCAACCCCAACTTCTAATCTATACAGTTCTGCTTTGAGTTGGCATGTTGTTTTGGTTGGCCAGAACCTTATAGCATAAAAAAACAGATAACTAGAAGGGTCGAATCCCATATCAATAATTGTTTTGACCTTCTCACCGAATTTACTGGTGTCCAAGCACAATGAATCGGATGCCCACATCAACAGCCGCTGGATATTGGAATCTAAAACTCCAACCCCCTTCAAAATTGATATATTGGAACAGACATTCTTTTCCAAACGCTCCAGCAAAATCCTTGTAGTATTCTTAAAAGATTTAACAACTACTTCATTGTGCACAAGCTGACTATTGAGGAAATTCTAACAAGGGATAATCTTGCGGTTTAAACTACATGCCAAGAGGGTTGGGTTTCTGGAGATGAGATTTGCAAGTTCAGTACCTGAAATCCCAATGGAATTAAAGAACTAGAATTTGGGCAAAACAGCTTCCTTAGCATCTAAGAGTAGCACTATATGCTGTATCCTGACAACTTTGAGGATGTGGGCATCCATGAATCCATGGCTCCTGAGACAATTGAGCGGCCTATCCTGCTTTGCTGAATCTCGAAACTGGACAGCTTGGAGGCAGATTTAGCAGATGCTGGGGATAACCCACATGAATTAATGAGGTAAGATATTGTAAATGAGTGTTTGTCAAGTTCCTTTGCTACCCCAACTGATGAAAAAGTCTGCTTTGAAAAATTGGTGCAAAATCTAAAAGGAAACTAAAATGGGTAGTCGAAAATCCAACATTTCTCCAACTTGGAGATGGAACCGGCATTCTTTTACCGGATAATAAAGGCTTAATTCAATTATCGATCTATTAACTATTAGCCTAATTTAGTCTAGAAAATTAGTTCTCTTTTTAAATAGTTGATAAACTTTGTAAAATATTTTACAATAATTTGCTGTATAAAACTTTGATTACTTTTAATAGAAAAACAACAAAAAAACTTAAATCAAAATTAAAATAAAGTAGTCCTACCCAACAAAGTAATATACACAGATCATGCAAGATATTAAAATAAGTCAATAATTATAGTTTATGCTATAAAGAATAATTGTTAAAAAAGAAAGCTGAAATAATGTGCAATAAAAATTACAATTTCTCATGTAGTGAAAAAGACCAAATGGAGACGAAACAGAAAAAAAAATATAAAAGTTACTAGAGTGTTTATTAAAGTAAGCCGATGATAAAAGAAACATTACATGCAACCAACAGTAATTTTTGCAGCAAGTAAGGAGAAACTCACCGATGTATTTTGAGTTTGATGTTCAAATCCGGCTGACTCAGTAGTGCAGAATGCAATTGAATTGGTTATTCACTGAATAGGCGCAAATCTGTAACAATTCACCGGAAAGTAATCGAGATTTGGGTTAGGGTTTCTTCTGTCCTGCTCCTGCTGCACCAATCTTGAACTGGAAGTTAGAAAGGTGGATCTGTGGAAGCAGGGTTTGTGTTATTTTAAGATATCAAAACGCTGCCGTTTGCCTCTTAGGTTCCAAGTCCGTCGGTTTTTGTAATATTACTATGACTTTTATGATATTTTTCTCAAATTTTCTCTGCCTTTTCTTTTTTTTTTTCTTAACAACTAATTAAGATATTAAAAAGCATTAGTATATGAACAAATCGTTAGTTAGCTATTTTATAAATTATTAGTTGTATTTAATAGTCAAATCAATAGAACTTATGTGTGTTTGTTTTGACTAATTTTATTAATTTATAACTTTTTTTCTTAAATAATTGATTAAGACATTTGAAGATATCAAATTATAAGTTAATTTTAAATTGTAAAATAACAGCTGTTCTACTAGCAATCATCTATAACTGTAATTGTTTCCATCAAATAAACCAAATAGAGCTTATATTTTTATTTTATTAGCAATGATATAGTTATAATATTAAATAAGATTATAATTATAAGTTTAAAATTAAGACACATCAATAAATAAATAAATACATATAATATTATAAGTAAATTTTCAATAAAAAAATTAATTATATGAAAATATATTATAATTATAACTTGTAATATTATATGGTATTATAACTTTATTATTTTTCTTATTTTATATATAAAGGCAAAGAAGGAAATGCAAATACCCTAATTAATTTACATAAAATAGTTAGCTACAAAGATAGGAAGTGCCAACCAGAAGAATTGATATACAACTTGAAGTCTTGGCCATGGTGTCAAGAACTTGAAGTCTTGAAATCAATTATGGCCTTTTCCATACTCATCTTGCAGCGGTTTTAATTTTATCCAACCTGAGTTGCGATTCAGATTGCTAACACTACTTTTACTCCGCAAGCCCAAATGTTTACTAGTTATACATATGTTGCTATACACAAGCACCATTTGACCTCAATTGTATGAAGGCCTGTGCAACAGATCAGGATCATGATCATGCAAACAAGGAAAGTTCTATGACAGACAATCAAGAAGGAAAATCAAAGAAATCTTTCATTCAATGCAGAAACTCTCAATCAAAGCTGAAAATATTCAATCACAGCAAGAATTCACAATCAAGACTAATTGCAATCACTTAGGATTTTACCGTTGGATGTAATTCCATATATATTTGTACCAAGTTAGATTAAAATACAAGCTCAGTATTCTTATTCTCTATATTCCTCTTCAAATTCTTTCATGGTATCAGAGCAGTACGATGCCTGCATCTGAATCCTTTCTTTTTCTCAATCTTATTTGTTGCGTTCTTATCACAACATGGCCAAGAACAAGGCACTTCTCACCATCCAAAGCTTCCATCAAATGGCAAGCTTGGTGTTTGTTAAACTGTCAAATACCAATTTCCTATTATGGAAATCACAAGTCTTTCCACTCATAAGGAGTGCTCAACTACTCCATCACATTGAGGAAGCTGCACCACCAGAGACCATTCTTAATGAAAAGGGTGAAGAAAAGAACAACCTAGAATTTAGTATCTGGTTAAACAATGATGGCCTTCTCACAAGCTAGCTTCTCCGAACAATGAATGAAGATTCACTCAGTCTAGTTGTTGCATCTAATTCAGCATACGAGATCTGGAAGTGCCTAGAGGAACATTACCTAGCTTCAACAAAGGAGCAAGAAATCCAACTCAAAGGGCAACTCTCTATTAAACGAGGAAGCAATGAATCCCTTGAGGATTTCCTCAAGAAATTCAAAAGTACATGTGACAACCTCACCGCAATTCGAAAACCACTTGATGATCTTGATAAGGTGTTTCAACTTTCTAGAGTTGTTGGGTCAAGATATCAATCATATAATCTTGCTGTCCTCTTGAAACCTCCATACCCAACCTTCAGACAATACATCTTGGGTCTTCAAAATACTGAACGTGATTTGAAAGAATTTGAAGAGGAATATAGAGAATAAGAATACTGAGCTTGTATTTTAATCTAACTTGGTACAGATATATATGTAATTACATCCAACGATAAAATCCTAAGTTATTGCAATTAGTCTTGATTGTGAATTCTTGCTGTGATTGAATATTTTCAACTTTGATTGAGAGTTTCTGCATTGAATGGAAGATTTCTTTGACTTTCCTTCTTGATTGCCTGTCATAGAACTTTCCTTGTTTGCAAGATCATGATCCTGATCTGTTGTACAGGCCTTCATAAACTACCCTGATTGTGATAAATCCTTCTGATTTTTTACATATGGGGCTAGAGGCAGTGCCCAAGCTGGACTACAAACTCTATTCTTTGAAATAAAAATGAAAGGAAGAAGATGCTGCGGAAAGCCATAAACCTCAAAAACAAAGTACTTACCACAACAAATGATATAATCAGAAACAGAAGGGCTTCCTCAATGATGGTCAAAATACATTCAAATACAAAAGTACAATGCAATTCACCCTTTAATGTATGTCTAACAATTAAAAACAATGTTGTGTAAATGTAATAACTAAGATTTATACGGTGAATGAATTTTTTATTAATAAAATAATTATTAAATAATTATTAAAAATATAAAATTAATTTTCTGATTAAAATCAAAACCAATTTGAATATTTTTTTTCTTTTTTACTAGGGGAATTGGGGGAAGGGGAGAAAGAATAGAAAACAAGAGAATTTGAATCTCGGATCGGTAGTAGGGATAAGATACTCATGCAGTAACCACACAAATTACATATTAAAATTTAAATCAATTTGAATAGTCATTTTTTAAAAAACAACCAAAACCAATAAAATCCATTCTGTTCGGTTTGATTATTGATGGTGAAAATTTAATAACTAAAAATTCAATTAACTAATAATTTGATTTCTTGTTAACATCCCACATCGGCTTGATAATAAAGAAATAAATTCTTTAAATGTTGAACTTCTAGAGGCGACCCTGCCAAGCTTTGTAACGCAGGCTCGTGACGCTGGTAAGGGAAAGATTTTTTTCTTTTCTTTTCTTTTTCTTTTTAACAAGGGCAATAATACGTTTCAAAAAAAACAAGGGCAATAATAAGGGAAAAGGGGAAATGGCCAGCTCATGAGCTGAAAGAAGCATTAGTAATCCGTAAGTTAAATGTAAATATTTAAATAATTGATAAAATTTAAATTTTTGATTAATTTAATTTAATTTAAATATTAAAATTTGAGATCAAATTATTAAACCCGAAGTATTGATGGTAGTAAGGGAAAGGATGGTAATACGAAATGTGGAAGATCTTTGACTCTGCCATGTGACAAGTGCATGTCACCATCCGTCGATGATAACTCAATGAACAATCTTTAGTGTTTTTTCTTTTCTCGTTTTTTGAATGGATTATAATTTTTGGAAGATAGAAGTTCGAACCCCAACCTTAAAGTTGAAAAATGCATCTTACAATAAAATATATAATTATCGGATTATGAAACCCAAATGCAATCTTTAGCGTCATTTTAATTTTTGCTCTCATCTCCATTTTAAATAGATTTTTTTTATATTAACCCCAAAGCTACAGTAGATTTTATTTAATTTAAAATTAAATTAAATTAGACCTAGTAAGAAAAAAATTTTCTTAATACTTATTTCTTTATTTAAAAAACTCAAACTTTAAAATTTTAGTTTAAAAAATTAAGGTTTTTTCACTCAAACTAATAATTTATTAGTTATATTTTAAATATGTAATTCCTTTATTGTTGAATAGTGATGGCATTTTAAAGTTGTGTTTAATTTTGAAATAAAAAATTATTAAAAATCAAGATCATATTAAATAGAGTCTTAATTTATCATATTGTGAGATTGCATACTAACTTATGTGGAGTCTATATGTAACAATGTTCTCTCTCTCTCTCTTCCTCCTTTTTATTTTTTTATTTTAGCAATTCATTCATTCAATAAGCATAAATACAGTAACTTACACCATAGAGCAAAAGCAGAAATAGCATCTTTGCAGCACGGAGCAACAAAACAGTTTAGCAAGCAGCATCTTGCTCCAGCAATAGCAAACACTGGACGAGGAGGATTTTACAGACCATCCAATAATTTGGACTAGTTCCACAGAGAATATTACGGGCCATCCAATCTGCGGCTTTGTTAGCTTTTTTAAAAGTAAGAGTAACTGAAAAATAAGGGTTATAAATCAAATATTTCTTGATATCCTATACAATAGCCTTTAATTTTTTCAAATATAGGTAAGTACACATCTCACCCTTCGCTCAATTCATAACAACTTTACAATCTGACTCAATATATCACACTATTAGAATTAGAAATGTATAATTGTACAAAAATTCATGAGTTGTGACACCTACTCCATGGGTCCTAGAAACATCTATCTTTATCATCAATTCAAGTAGTGGCAAATTAGCAAATAGTGGAGAGGGGGTAAGGGGAGAGAACCAATCTCCCACATCGGTTTGATAACGAGGAAACCAGTTCTATAAGTGGTCAACTCCAATGACATAAATTGCCGGGCTTTGTAACGTAAGCCTGTGACTCAAGTGGGGGCAACAAGGTGATGGATGGGAGTGGTGAGCTCTCGATCCCCACTGGCGGATGTGCACAATTCGTTCGCGGGCAAAATCCTACGGGCCTCTAAATGGTTCGGTGGTGCGACGCGGGCGGTCGAATGCCTCATGCTCAGTTGAGCACAGGAGATGAGACTGCTGGCTTCCCAGAGCAGCATGTGTGTTCCCGGTAGTGGTAGACTATCATCCTGAAGGGTGGTTTCCAGTCCCTCCAGAGCTTTCGCCCAACACTACCATCACCTTTTTAACTATCACCATCTAATATATCTTCTCTTTTACACAGAATCATAAGTCTCTCAAATCTAGATAGTGCAAGAACTGGATAATGCAACAACAACCCCTTTGAAAAACCAGAGTGAAGTTATTTTTGCCATTCATGACCCACCTTAAGGAAATTATTTTGCGCAGTTACCCCAAACTTAGACAACTAGGAAAGATATAATTACCCTTCAACTCGGTCTCATGGTTCAGCAAACTTAAGCCAATTATGAAGAACACTGTCTTTGTATCATCATGTAGATTTTCTCATTAAAATCAAACTTGCATTCAATCACATGCTTAGCAAGCATAGGATAAGGAAAATAACCTTAAGTATTAAGCAATCAAACTTTCAGGCACTTTGAAGTTTTACAGCTGTAGCTATGCAACAATTTCTAATCCCAGGAATACTTTCTACATCAAACCACATATAACAATCACTGCAAGAAGACTTGAGTTAAACAAGCAACAGGAAGGAAAATTCAAGGTATTCATGGTTGTGCAATTCTATAATTTGAGATATTAGGAAACTGTAAAGCTGGATGCCTGGACCAGTGGGGATCCCTTTGGTGAACCAAAGTGAGTAGTATTTGTTAGTCATTTCATGAAACAATCCCTCAGCCAAGCATTTTGCCAACTTGGGAAAATAGTGCAAGTCTGTCCATTTGAAATGAAAAATAAACCCTTATCAGATAGATGTGTTGCAAGCTAGTTAAGTTTTGTATTCAACTTTTCTTCAAAACTAAGGCCTAATTCCAAAAGATCCAGTTTCCCTTGTAAGATATCCAACAATTGAGGGGCTTTTTCCTTGTACCTGAAAACAAACCTGTCCAAGTAGTACTTCTCTGGGGACATCATCACCGAGGACAAAAAAATTTCTTCCTTTATCAAACCCTTTAATAGCAAAAATCTTATAACTGAGCACCTTGGGATGATTCTCTTCTTTAAACTGAAAGAAAGGACGTATGGAACTCTAGCAACTGCTGAAGGATGCCAACCCATCTTATTCACCAGAAAATCCATCACACTTGTAACTTTCTTTGCCGACTTTCCCAGAAATGAAGGATCTTTCTTGAAAGCTGACAAAAACTCATCTTCAGACCAACCCCAACTTCTATACAGTTCTGCTTTGAGTTGCCATGTTGTTTTGGTTGGCCAGAATCTTATGGCATCAAAAAACAGATACCTAGAAGGGTCGAATCCCATATCAATAATTGTTTTGACCTTCTCATTGAATTTACTGGTATCTAAGCACAATGACTCGGATGCCCACATCAACAGCCGCTGGATATTGGAATCTGAAACTCCAACCCCCTTCAAAATTGATATATTGGGACAGACATTCTTTTCCACACGCTCAAGCAAAATCCTTGTAGTGTTCTTAAAAGATTTAACAACCACTTCATTGTGCACAAGCTGACTCTTGAGGAAATTATAACAAGGGATAATCTTGTGGTTTAAACTACATGCCAAGAGGGTTGGGTTTCTGGAGATGAGATTTGCAAGTTCAGCACCTGAAATCCCAATGGAATGAAAGAACTCGAATTTGGGCAAAACAGTTTTCTCAGCATCTAAGAGTAGCACTATCGGCTGTATCCTGACAACTTTGAGGATGTGGGCATCCGTGAATCCATGGCTTCTGAGACAATTGAGCAGTCTATCCTGCTTTGCTGAATCTCGGAATTGGACAAGCTTGGAGGCAGATTTAGCAGATGCCGGGGATAACCCACATGAATTAATGAGGTAAGATACTGTAAATGAGTGTTTATCAAGTTCCTTTGCTACCCCAACTGATGAAAAAGGTCTCCTTTGAAAAATTGGTGCAAAATCTAAATGGAAACTCAAATGGGTAGTCGAATATCCAACATTTCTCCAACTTGGAGATGGAACCGGCATTCTTTTACAGGATAATAAAAGAAACATTCTACGCAACCAACAGTAATTTTTGCAGCAAGCAAGGAGAAACTCACCAATGTATTTTGAGTTTGAAGTTCGAATCCGGCTAACTCAGCAGCGCAGAATGCAATTGGATTGGTTATTCACTGAATAAGCGCAAATCTCTACCAATTCACTGGAAAGTAATCGAGATTTGGGTTAGGGTTTTTTCTGTCCTGCTCCTGCTGCACCAGTAGTATAGAATTGGAAGTTAGAAAGGTGGACGTGTGGGAGCACTGGCTGTGTTATTTTTTAAGATATCAAAACGCTGCCGTTGACCTCAAAGGTTCTAAGTCCAACGATTTTTGTAATATTCTCATTTTTATGATAGTTTTCTCAATTTTTATCTGCCTTTTCTTTTTCTTTTTCTTTTTTAACAATTAAGATATATATATATATTTTTTTGTACTAACTTCTCGATATAAAAGATCTGATCCAACAGAAATCCCGCATATTGAGCGCAGCTGATAAGCCGGCTAATAATCATATTGATTTCTGATTAATTCAGAATCGAATCATATCAGATCGATTAGAGGAAGCTTTCTCAACGTTTATTTCCTTATTCACAAGACTTAAACTTGAGATCTTATTTAAAAAAAATCAAATTCTAAAATCAACAGATCGTTTGTAACAAATAAAATATTTAAAAATATTAATCTATAAACTAATCATTAGTTAGCTGTCTTATAAATTATTAATTGTAGGTAATAACCAAACTAAATAGGGGTTTGTTTGACTATTTTTTTAATTTTTAATTTTTTTGCTGAAATAGTTGATTAAAGCATTTGAAAACATCAACCTATAAGTTGATTTTAAATTATAAAACAATAACTAACAGCTATTCTATAAGCAGTCATTTACAACTATAGCTGTTTCTAATTAACAAACTAAATAGACCCTAAGTCTTTAGCAATGATATAGATATAATATCAAGTGGAATTGTAATTCTAAGTTTACAATAAAATTAGTTATTAAATGAGTAAATAAATATAATTTCATAGATAATCTTTTAATGAAAAAAATTAATTATATAATAATATATTATAATTGTAAACTTATAATATTATATGACATTGTAACCATATCATATTCTTTATTTTATATATAAAGGGAAAGAAGGAAATGCAAATATTGTAATTAATTTATATAAAATAGTTGGCAAGAAAAATAGGAAGTGGCAACCAGAAGAATTGATATGAGATAGATCTTTGACCATGGTGTCAAGAACTTGAAGTCTTGAAATCAATTATGGCCTTTTCCTTACTCATCTTGTAGCGGTTTTAATTATATCCAACCTGAGTTGTGATTCAGATTGCTGACACTACTTTTACTCCGCAAGCCCAAATGTATATTAGCTATACATATGTTGCTATGCACAAGCACCATCTGACCTCAACTGCCCTGATTGTGATAAATCCTTCTGATTTATTACAGAAGGGACTAGAGGCAGTGCCCAAGCTGGACTACAAGCTCTATTCTTTGAAATAAAAATGCAAGGAAGAAGACGCCGCAGAGAGCCATAAACCTCAGAGACAGAGGACTTACCACAACAAATGATATAATCGGAAATAGAAGGGCTTCCTCAATGATCGTCAAAATACATGCAAATACAAAAGTACAACGAAATGCACCCTTTAATGTACGTGTAACAATTGTAGGTTAAGGACAATGAAATTACAAATTTGAAGCTGAACTCAGTCTTTCTGTCAGTCTTTCATTAAATGGGTGAATCAGGATCAAGGGAGAATACTTACAGTTTACACCAACGAAAAAAAGGAACATTTTGCTTTCTTCTAGCGAGGAAGTTCATTGTTTAAGCAGAAGAAAGTAACTACCTACCAGGAGGAAAATCAACGCTATTCACAAGTTTCCTTGCATAAATCAAACTGAAAATTGTTATGCCACATGCTATTTGAGTTTGGCATCAATCTTTCCTTCAAAACTTAGGCCTAGTTCTAAAAGGTCCAGTTTCCCTTGGAAGATATTCAACAATTCAGGGACCTGTTTCTCATACCTGAACACAAATCTATCTAAGAAGTACTTCTCTGGCGATATTACCACAGTAGACAAAAAAATTTCCTCCTTTATCAGACCCTTTAACAACAAAACTCGTATAACAGAACACCTTGGGATGATCCTCTTCTCTAAACTGCTAGCATGGACAAATGGAAATGAAGCAACAGCTGCAGGATGCCAACCCATCTTGTTCACCAGAAAATCCATCACACTTGTAAATTTCTTTGTTGATATACTCATAAGTGAAGGAAATTTCTTGAAAGCTGACAAGATCTCATCTTCAGACCAACCCCAACTTCTATATACTTCTGCCTTGAGTTCCCAAGTTTCTTTGGTTGGCCAAGCTCTAGTAACCTCGAAAAAGGCATAACTTAAAGGGTTGAATCCCATACTAAGAATTTGTTTCACCTTCTCATTGAATTTATTGGTATCCAAGCACAAGGACTCTGATGCCTTCTTCAAAAGAAGCTGGATATTGGAAGCTGGATATTGGAATCTGGAACTCCAACCTCTTTCAAGTATGAGATATTGGGACAAACATTCCGCCGCACATCCTCCTGTAAAATCCGTGAAGTCTTCATCAAGGATTTAACAACTATTTCACTGTCAACAAGCTGGCTCTTGAGGAAATCATAACAAGAAATAATTTTACTCAAGTTCCGTCCAAAGAGACTTGGGTTTCTGGAAACGAGAGTTGCAAGGTTAGCTCCTGAAATCCCAATGGAACGAAAGAACTCGAGTTTGGGCAAAACAGTTCTCTCAGCATCTAACCAAAGCACTAGCGGCTGTACCCTAACAATTCTGGAGATATGAGCATCAGTGAATCCATGGTCTCTGAGCAAATTGAGGACTGAATCTGGCTTTACTGAATCTCGAAACTGAACACGCTCCGAGATCAATTTAGCAGATGCAGGGGATAACCCACATGAATTAATGAGATAAGACACTGTAAATGACTGTTTGTCAAATTTTTTTGCAACAACATTTGATGAGAAAGGTCTGCTTTGAGAAATTGACGCAAAATCTAAAAGGAAACTCAAATGGGTAGTCGAATATCCAACATTTCTCCAAGCTGGAGATGAATGCAGCTGCATTCTTTTACAGAGTAACAGACCCAACATTTTATCCGCAATGAACATAGGTTTTTAGGAGCAAGCAAAATAAGCTTACCGATGAATTTCGAGTTTGAAATTCAAACAGGTGAGGCGAGGCGATTGAATCGGCTATTCATTGACAAGGCACCAACTTCTGGTGCACACTAACACCGCCATTCACCTGCAAACAAGAGTTAGGGCTTTCGCTGTTCTACACCGAAGATATGGAGGAGGAGCATCTGAAAACGGTACCGTTGCGCATCTGAAGTCCAACAACAACCATTTATCGTGCCATTTAAATGAAGTTACATTTTTTTCCTTGTTTGATATGTTCGATTAATTATTAAAATTCAAGAGTTGGGCTTTTTGGAAATTCAAGTTTTGTACTAATTATTAAAGACTTCAATTATTAAAATTTAAAGAGTTTGTTGGAATATATCAACATTCAACTTGGGCTGTACATAATGGGTCTGCTATTCATTAGCGCAAAGTGAGAAAGCACCAGTACAACAAATACAAGCATACTCACGTGTGCAGCGTCACATGGGGGCCAATAGGATGTTTACATGCACAGACACATGTCAGCATTTGGAGTTATAAATACTCTCAACTACCTCCAATGAAAGTAATGAATTCTTCTACGCTTCTTTATCTGTAATTATTTTTTGAGAGCATCTCTTTAAAATATTGAGTATTGCTGATTTGACCGTCGAGTGTTTTCCCTGAAAAAACATCCTCAGAAATTTCATGTGTGAAAATAGCTGAAGATATCAACAGTGTTGGATCACGAAACTGCCCAAACAAGATTGTTTTTAGAAATTTAAATTTTATATTAATTATTAAAATTTTAAAATAAATAAATAAAAATTAATATAACACTTACAGCATTATAAATATATCCTAACTCATTTTCCAAACCCTTCCCTGGGTAATGGTTCCCAAACCCTTTTTCGTAGATGATATAGTTCTATTTCGCACACTGCACCCACCCGTTCTAGATTTCCAACATTTGAACTTCGACCTCCAATGTGCCGGCTCGAACTCACCTACCATGATGCCCATTTCTTGCTGATGTCCATTTCTTGTTTTTTGATCGGTAGATGGTTAGTTTCTTACATTTTTATTGAATTATATATTTTATTGTCTATTTCTTATTGATTTTACTATAAAATAGAAGATAAATTTACTGTTCTATTAGTCGAATCTCTAATCTAAAAAGCCCCTTTATTGAATAGGTAAGTTATGCAATATGCATGCATATGCAGTTTTAGTTACATTGATACGAGTGCACTAAACTTTTGATAAATGTCAAAATTTTAATTGTTACACTAATAACCCTTTTTTTCCCAATTGCCCTAGTTGAAAAAACAAAAAAAAGTTATGCAATATGCATAGTTGACACGAAAATACAAAATGTGAATAACTGAAATTGTTATTTTTAAAATAAATACGATTTTATTGTGAATAATTGAAATTGTTTCTGATTAAAGCTGAGATTCAAATTTTAAGATTCAAAATTTATAATTCGCATCCATGAATACAATTAAAAATTTCGATTTCTTGCACTGATTCATTTTCCGTGTTCTTCTGATACGAAGGTACCACGAAAGGGTACAACAGAACTAGCATGGAGATCAGGAGATGCTATTTGTGTTTCAGTTTCAGATGTTTTGTTCATCCATCGATTAGTTACTCCTTTGAGGGTTTCCACATTTCTTGCTACACGTCCCAAAATCACACTTCAGAGGAGGAAATCAGGTGGTGGTTGCGGTTACGGACTCAGCAAGGTCTTCCAGGAGTTCCTTCTGCTCCATAGAAGTACAAGCCTGTAGATTGAATGGAGGGATTTCAGAGGCTGCTTAATCATTTTAGCATGAAGTCTTGAAATTCAAAATAATTTGAGAGAGAAGTGAGATTGCATGGTAAATAAAATCAGAAAGGAAGCAGAAAAATAAATACCTGAACTGCAGTTTCTATGTCACCATTAAGAAAAGAAGTGAGCGCGAAGTTCATCTTCAATCGATGGTCAGTCACCCTATTATCCTAATCAAATGTAAAAGAAGCTTGTAAGATTCCAAAGGTTGTTCTTCCATAAAAAAAGCCTTATTATTATTTTTTTTTTTGGCAAGATAAACCACTAATTCCCAATGGCAACACTGCCGTGACTTGTCTTGAAATGGCATGCACAGAACACTAGTGAATTTCTCATGTTTTCATTTTTTTGGTGAATTAAGGATAGCAAATGGAATTACGTTGTGAATGTACCTTGTAGTTATATGTCCGAATCTTTTCAGCACGAGCACCAGTACCAACCTGCCATTTTAGATAATTCTACTATAAGGCAATTTAATCCCATGCTGTAAAAATCAATTGGAGAAGATCTTGCCATTATGCAAATTCAAGTTTGACATTCTCTAAACACACAAGTTCAATCAAAAGGGCATTGTTGTTAACATGCTTAAACAATGTGATATCCAAAAAGCTCATGGGAGGATGGCATAGTGTCCCTAGAAAAATCTCAAGGTAAGAGAATGACTAGTAAAAAATCACACCATCATCTAGCAACTGCATGACATTTTTAGTGATAATATGCATTTGAAATAGGAGAATTACTGGAAACACCATAAGAAGCAATTAATTCATAAATTTTGGATTGAAAGAGGAAGCTTCCTTTGCATCTGATCTCAGCTATATCTACCTGTAATTTTCTTTGATTCCTTATCTTCTCTTGTTGCTCCCTTAGCTTTATTTCATACCTGTAAGATGGTCATGGATCAAAATGAATGTATCAAAAAGGAAGGTGGATAATGTAAAACAAGATAAGTTTTCTGAGAATAGAATTTTCAAGGGTTGACTATTTTCTCAGGAAACTAATATTTAACCAATGAATAAAATAAAAGATACGAACAAGGAAAGCAAAGTTCTTGTCCCCACTCATGAAAGCATCTCTTTTTTCTTTGAAAATATCATTGGAATGCCAAAACCAACTGCAACTAAAAGTTACAATAATGACAGTAGAGAATATGTACTAGATGAATTTGATTCTCACAGTTTTGCTCGTAGTAGTTGCAAAGCACGATTTTTGTTCTGTAGTTGGGTCCTTTCTTCAGTACAAAAGATGCGGATTCCTGTTGGTTTATGGAAAAGATCAACAGCTGTCTCCACCTTGTTGACATTCTGGCCTGCAAGATATCCAGCATAATAAGTGAATAAAAATCTTCTTCCACACACCTACCAACCAAATGGAGGAAAGGGATAAGAAAGGGATTCCAATTCACTCCAATAAAATCAATCCAGATATATGAATTATACCTCCAGCACCACCAGACCTTGCAGTGGTAAGTTCAATGTCTTTTGGATCAATTTCAACATCGACTTCATCAGCCTAAATTTCAGATACAGAAAAACCTAATTAAAGCAGGCACAAGGACAAAGTAGTAATGTTTATTGTTTCCCCAAGGACTTGATAGAACCACCATAAGATCCTTTCCATGCAGAATATGTAATGGAGACAGCCCAGTTGAGGCCTAAGACACAATTTTACCTCAGGCATAATGGCTACAGTTGCAGTAGAAGTGTGCACACGTCCCTGTGCTTCTGTTTGAGGAACACGTTGAACTCGGTGGACACCAGATTCATATTTCAATTTGCTGTAGACACGATTTCCTTTTACCTCCATCACAAATGTTTTGAAACCTCCTTTTTCAGCCTTGAAAATACCAGACAATTCTGACAATCATATCAACACCAAAGGATGCATATCTTTTCCTTTTGATGTCTAATGCTTAAATATAGAAAACCTTAATGAAGAAATTTTAGGCAAGTCATTTGGCAGTTTGTACCAAACAGCAAATGCAATATCAATTACTAAATCATGACTGGGAAGGATAAGTAGCTGAAATTGCAATTGCAACACAGGCACTCACATTGCATTGTTATCACCAGTAAAAGATAAAGCTGATTCTAAATTGCTGTAACAAGACATACCTCAGAGCTTGAAACTGGGGTGTACTTCCAAGAATTCTGCTCACTGTACTTTTGATACATGCGGACCTATATATTGAAAATGGAAATTAAATGTTGATAAAATTTGCTGCAATAATAAAACTTCTACCTAATTTTCAGGTATTCCATTCAAGGAAGAAACACCTGAGATAGTATTTCTATCTTAGGATGCCTATACTTCAATAGCTACATATAAGGAAATAATTCATGTTTAATAAAATAACTAAGCTTTTATTTGAATTGCTAGTCATGATTTCCATATAAATTCAAGAAATCATCATCATTGGATGATTGGTCAAAATACTTCACTGACAAACAAGTTAAATACACATGTTTGATCAGATTGCAGGGCTGATTTTACAAGCATTTGAATTTTAAATCATAAAGATTTCAGAAACTATGTTTAGAAGCAAGTATATCAAATTTCTTCCTAAGCTAGTCCCATGAAGCTGGTTAATTGATATAAAAGTAGAAGTAGATTAGATTTTCAATTTCAAGTCCAGAAAACTTTTATGCATATCTTTCAAATTTGCTTACTCTTTATACATCTCCATCAAACATAATGTCTGATTTTAGACTAACTTAATAAGTCAGCAAACAGGGAGAGCATGATATGTTGCCACAAATTTGAAAGGAGAAAAGAAACATGTACCTACAAGATCACCAGCCCATAGTCCAGCCTCATCACCCCCGGTACCTGCCCTTACTGTAAACAAGGAGGACAAGTATGGTTCATTGAAGTCAGATATTGAAAGGAATCACCATAAAATAGTAGCATAAAAATATCCCAAAATGTTAATGCATGAAAAAAATTATATCCATAGCATAAAGAAGTATTAGAGATGGAATTTAAATCAATTCTTATGTAGATTGCATGGAATGAGTCTTCCAATCAGATCTTCTGTTAGTGTAGATCAAATCAAGCATGCTATCAACTTCCTTGCTAACCATCTAGAAATTTCACAATTTGAAGTAATAGTTGAAAATCGGCCAAAAAATAGAGATAGTAGCAAATAAGTTATTGCTGATAATAAGGCATAATTGCAATGGCTGGCTGCTCTCTAAGCATCATGCTACTTATAAAAATGCAGGGAAAAGGGGGAAAAAGAAATGGAAAGGAGAAAAGAAAGATGACCCAATCCCCACCTTGCAAACATATAATGATTAACTCTATTCAAACATATGATGCTCTGTGCCATTCATCTCTATTTCTTGCTGATTAACTCTCCCAAAAATACATCTCGAAAATGAAGATTGAAAAGAGTGAACCAGTCACCACTTTACAAACAATAAATAATTTGTAATTGTGTATCAACATCAAATAGTCAACAAGCTTCCTTGTAGAAAGATAATAGTTACCTTCTAGCATTATATTTCTAGCATCCAAAGGATCACTTGGAAGTAACAGTACCTATCAATCGATATGCAAGACGACAATTTGAGTGAGTAATATAGGGAAACCATTTTATAGAACAATGATTGGGAACAACAAAAATGATCAGACACACACTTAATGAAGTTAAAAATAAACAGTAGTTAGCACCCCTTGTTTGGAAAAAAATCCATACAGATACTGTTAAAGACAAAAGGCTAAAAAACCTTAAGCTTCTCCTCAAGCTCTTGTAGTTGGCTAGATAGAGAGCTAATTTCAGATTGTATCATCTCAGCCATATCTTCTTCAATGCTCTCTTCTTTTGCTAAAGCTGCCATATTAATTAAAGAGAAGAAGAACGAATGTTAATTCAAATGTTCCTCCATTTCCCTTTTCCCGTTTCTAAATAAGCAAAGCAGTGGAAGATAACCTTTGGTCTCTTCTAACTGCTTCTCGCAGTCCTTAAATCTCCTAAACGTTGATACAACCTACCAGGTAAAAAGATGAAATTCATGACCATAAAACAGATGATCTCCAGCACTCAGAAGAAGGATAAGAAACATGAATTCTAGTACCTCATCAAGTTCAGCGACAGATTGTGCCAGCTTTTGATACTCGCCAGGATTCGAAACAACATCAGGATCAGCAAGCCTGACCTACAAATTTTAATTTGTTCACGGAAACTCAAACCATAAACAGCAACCTTAAATGCTTATGCATTGTGCTCCAGTAACTCAAATAATTGAAACAAAAACTAACAATTCAACAATTTTTCAACAGAAACTTAAATCTTAAACAGCTACCTTAAATGCTTTTGCATTGTGCTCCAATAACTCAAATAATTGAAACAAAAACTAATAATTCAATAATTTGTTAACAGAAACTCAAATCTTAAACAGCTATCTAAAATGCTTATGCATTGTGCTCCAATACCTCAAATAATTGAAACAAAGACTAACAATTCAATGATTTGTTCACAGAAACTCAAATCTCAAACAGCTGCCTTCAATGCTAATACATTGTGCTCCAATACCTCAAATAACAGAAACAAAAGCTAACAAATAAAAAATCATTCAATTAATCGGTAAGAAGCATACCGATAATTCCTTCCACGTTTTCTCTGCAGATTCCAGTTTCGTTATCAGGTACGACTCCTGCAAAATCCACCAACAAAATAAAACAATAACAACAGAATTCCTTTTCACCAAATGCTTTCAACTTCAAGAGTGAAAAAAGATTTCAAAAGAAAGAAATCAACTAACCGCCATGCAAATGATTCTTGGAGCTCTGAGCGCAAGCCGAGGTCTGGCGATTACGAAACTCCGCCTTGACCGGCTGCACAAAAGGTTCCCCGGCGGCAATTGGTTCAAGCTACACAATATTCGAGCCGTGCAGCTCGTCGTTATGCCGTTCATTGTAGCAGAGGAATTTTAGCAGGAAAAGATAAATTTATTAGAGAATTTAATTTGAAGCGGTTGAGGTCCTTGAGGACGTGACACTCTGCTCTGGTTTGGTTACTGAGAAACTGGTAACACATGAAAAGAGATAAAAGGCTAGGGGCGTGTTTCGAAACGACAATAGTGTATCCCAGCTTCAAATTAGGATGATTCTCGAACGAGTTTCAATTATCCCTTTCTCAAAATTTTTTTTTTTTTTTTAAATTTTTGTCCTTTAACTTTTCATTTTGAACACTTTTTTATTTCTAAGCTATTTTTAGCACTTTTTTTTGTCATCAGCTTTACAAATCACACTTTTCTAGTCCCTTAACAATTGATTTAATTCAAATTTTAATGATGTTATAACGGATACATTATTAAATTAGATTATGTAAACACATGGTGCCCAAAATTAACACTTTTTTAATAGTGTGACAAAGATACATCATTAAATTAGTTTACATTAACTTATATAGCATCAAAAATGTTTTTGGTGAAGAAGAAATTTAAGGAAGAAGAATATGATATAAGTATTTTTATCATTGGGAGTAATATTTATTCACTTTAACTTTATATTCTAAAAACTAGAAGGAAAATTATTTTAAAATTATATCATTTCAAAAAACTCCATTAAAAAAAAAACTAAGATACTCTATTTTTAAAGCCTAAATTAGTATACTTTTTGTCATTTTTTATAATATTTTATTACAACTATATAATTTTGAAATAATTTTTTTTATAATCATTAAGAGATAAGATAGATAAGCAATAATCCCTTTATCATTTTATAAGTTCAAATATTGTAATTTATAATAAATTTTAATTTTTAGTATATTTTTTAATTTATTATTTTATCCATTTAAGCTAAAATTACCAACATAGACACCACAAATTTTGCTCAACTAAGTTAAGGGACCCATCTATAACAAGCATGTCATAAAAAAATTAAAAGAAAGTAAATAAAGTTAATTATCACATCATCACTTAATTTAATTTACTGAATGACAAAAAAATGCAATGTATAGAGTTGAGAGACAACAAAATATTAAAAATTTAATAATCAAAAGTATTCAAAATATAAAATTTAAGGATTAAAATTTACATTTAACCTTTTTAGAGGTTGGCTCTATCAAGCGAAGCATGCGTGTCATCTATCTTTTGATTTCATCATAGATTATACAGTGATTTTCCTCTTTGTTTTCTTATTTATATTTTTAGGAGTTTTGTTTTGTTTTGTTTGGTCTCCTTTGTAGGAAAAAATGATCATTAGTTAGAGGAAGCCCTTTAATTAAAGGCAAAATCTTTTCTTTTTTTTTTGTTTTTTATGAACTTGAAGATAAAATCTTTAAATCTGATTAAAATGTATACTATCTTTTGATTAGATACATCTTAAACTTGTATCAACCCTTATGGCTTGGGATGGTATAAATTTTTACCTGAAATGTACCAAAAATAAAGAATTTATTTGTTTCAATTGATAATGAATTATTCAAATTGCTTCACTCTAGTCATTACCTAAGCTCTTCCACGCAATTTTTTTTTTCTTTTGGGGTCTGGAAAGTGGTAATTTGTACACTGCATTTTTAGTATTTGTTCTGGAACAGAGAAACTTGAACTCTCAAGTCTCAACCTCACCAAGGGTAGATTTCCACACAATTAAGAAGGAAGCCATTTGATCTGGAGCGTGGAAATTAGCTCTTTCACACATTCAAGTTTTAGTTTAGAGAATCAAGTGTCTTAAAAAAAATTTATATGTATTTTAAAATTAATATATATATATATTTTTTGAGAATTTAACATCACACCTCACATTAATTTAGTATATTTAAAAAAATTAAATTTCTTTAGGCATAAGGATGGCAATTTTCTCCACGACCCGCAGAGCTTCACAGAGATCCCCACCACGGGGATGGAGATTCTCAGAATATTCCTACCCGTGGAGCGGGGATGGAGGCAATTTTTTACCCGTGAAATTTCGCAGGGAATTTTCTCCACTCCGTGAGGAACCGTGGGGATCTATATAAAATAAAAAATATATATAAATTTATTTATATATTTTTTTT